TTTTTTTTTTTTTTTTTTGGAGAACGGACGAAAATCGGTGCGCGCGCAGGATGTCATCCATAAAATTAAAAAAGTGTGGCCTTAACTCTCCCTGCTTATGCCTGTTGCACCAAGACAAAACATGGCTGTCTTAACAGCACAACAGCATTATTAATACACAAGTCAGCATCACATATCAACTGTACCTTGATGTTTCTGATGTTTCAGATTTGTAATGAGCCAGGAAAAGTCTCTCTTACCGTCTCCAAGTGAGCCCTAGGAAGAGCAGGCCCAGCATGATATAGCCAATGTTGCTGAAGACATTGTTAAAGCTGCTGAGCACCCCCAGTGGATGTGAACACAGGAAGTTGTAATAGCAGAGATCCTGGTTGCCCGTCACATGCAATACCTACAAATACATCATAGAATGTGTACAATAAGTTGTGGTATCAGATATCTTGGTTGTCCCTCACATGTAGTACCTCCAAATACACCATAAAAACTGTAATAATAATAAATGACTTATATGAAACAGTGGTAACGACTATGAAAGATTAGTTGAATTACATGCTAAAGAGTTGTATTAGGAAATTACTGACTGGATGACATTAAGTGAATAAATAATTAGTCCATGCTTACCGTCTGATAGGTGATTACCAACTGGATGACAGGAAGTCCATAAAAGATTGCTATGGTTATAAGGTTCCTGGGGTAGAAAAAAAATCAAAATGAAAACTACGCAGCTAGGATTGCTGGAAATTGTACCATTTGACAAAGGACAAACATAAAAGAATTGTGCAGGTAAACTGGGATTTAAACTTATATCAGAAGTAATCTTGAGAGTCAATTTTTAACAAATTTCAATTACCAAATACCATATATTATAGCACACTCAGTTTATAAATTTAATAGTCACTGTGATTTTAATACAATTTATTTAATAGTGATTCTTATACAATTTATTATTATAATAATATATAATATAATAATTCATCCCTGAAAATAAAATAATTAGTCCAAATAAATTCATGGCACTAAGGTCACATTATAGCCTATGACTATTCTCTTACCACTGGTAAAGTTTGAATTTTTGTCTTAAAACTTTCCTCCCTTTCCTAGATAAGTCAGCCACATAGAGGAAAGGCTAAAAAATAATTCAAAGAGTCAAATGTTAGATATTTAAAATGTGCAATGGTTTGTTTACTTGTTATTTCCATAATTATTATATTATATTTTAAAATATGTTTTCCAACATTGTTTGCACTGGGCTTGTAACTGCCTGGAGAACGATTTGACCAACTCTGTGACAATCACACGTCACATGTCAGTGACTGCCTCGGAGTTTGGAGTGTGGGAAACTGTTCAAACACTAGCACAAGTCTTTCCAGAGACCATAGAAAAGGGCTGTCATTAAATAGGCAAAACAAGGTCTTCAAGTCACTCTCCACTGGGGGTCAAAAGTAGTACATGGTAGCATTTGGTTGTGGGATTGTGAAACAGGCCTCCCAAAAATATTTTGATCATTGTACGAGTAGGGAATACTGAGAATTTTGACAGGTCATCTAGCAATAAAATGGGTCGACAGGTGTTCAAATGAAGGTTGGACCCTTGGTTAAACCCTTGGTTTAAATCAAATTAAACACTACAAGAGTTATGAAGTTAATGATGGTACATGTAACCTACATGAGTTGTGCTGTTTTGATAATGGTTACAGAGCTATGGTAACAAAATACCTTAGTTCTAAATACATCCTTCTCCAGCTCGGCATCAGCCAACATGTCGATGTCAGCCTCGTCCAATGAGCTATCAGAATCATAGTGTGCTGCAGCACTAGAGCCAGTGCCACTGCAAGAGTTATGAAGTTAATGATGGTACATGTAACCTACATGAGTTGTGCTGTTTTGATAATGGTTACAGAGCTATGGTAACAAAATACCTTAGTTCTAAATACATCCTTCTCCAGCTCGGCATCAGCCAACATGTCGATGTCAGCCTCGTCCAATGAGCTATCAGAATCATAGTGTGCTGCAGCACTAGAGCCAGTGCCACTGGCGGGTGCTCTCTCTCGGCTAGCACTTTGAGGCGCTGTAAAGTTGGCAGCTGGCTGGGCTGACATCAAATTAGGAATCATTATTAAATATTTCAAATTTAGATAAAATATTATGAGCTATCAATTAACCACTTTAAACCATACTATAGCTTCCCCAATTTAAATTGATCTTTTCTCTGTTTGATAAAAATGAGTCCAATCTTTGATGTCATTTACTGCCAATCTTTCTACTAACATGTAACATTTAAAAAAGCGTCTGCATTTTCAGTGCAAGGTGTAACCAAAAATGTTAAGCAATTTATCAACAGATTTTCATCTATGGGCATATTTTAAAATTGTATTTCTAAAATTGAGGACAACTCAAAAATTATCCTTTAAGTTAATGAAATGTGGCAAAATATCAAATTATTATTGATCATAAACAAACCCAGTACATAATAAAGGACAAATGAAGACGAAACACAGATAAAAACAGACATGTCACTTACCAATGACATCCCCCTGAGTTCCATAGGTTTTGTCAGGTGCTCCCTCAGTTATAGGAATGTTAGGGTCATCATCTAGCAAATAATGTGAAGAAATTCTTATCAAATTGAAATAGACTTATTGCATTACAAGTTTTTAAATGTGATTATCTACACTAACTTATTTTATTGAAATTTGACCCCCAAACACTCAAGTCTTTTGTATAAGTATGCTAATGAACTTTGGCTTCTTTATTTAATTATCAACACCTTGAAATGCAGCATAGTTTGAAGTAGACAGGTAATTTTTAAACTGAATTTCTTATTTGCTTGCTGCTAAGGTTTTGGATCTATGTACTTATGATTACCATTAAATGCAAATTTAATCATTTTTAAGTGCTTACAAGTTTTTGTTGCATTATGCATAATAAAGGACCTTTGTTAAAGGAATACTGTAGTGAAACAATGGGTTAAAATATGTTAATCATTTACTTGCCCAAAAGTCATTAATGCTTCATTAAAAATGATTGGGAATCAATGCTAATGTCTGTGAAAAAATGACTGACCACTTTCATTATTATGCCAAACCAAGGTGGAATTAGTATTAAACTTAAGTGAACTGAGCCTGTGTAATAAAACTTTTAACAACTATCAAAATTCTAATTTCACTAAAATTATACTACATCTGGATCCAGTAAATGAACATAAACCAGCAAACCAATAACCAGGAGCATATCACCTCATGGTAATAAGCCACATTATCAAATACTATCCAGTGAGAAATGCTGGAGATCCAGTAATACAATAAAATAACTTGAAATATATCACTAGACAGCAAAGCTGAGAAATATGCAGACACCAAATGGGATAAATGATTTTCAAAATCCAATGGTGCCAAATTAAAAAAAAGGAAATACCTTTTTTACTTTTTTTTTTTTACTAAACAACACCACTCAGCAAATATGGAGTTAAACAAAGTTGTGTTCACTTTGGCACTTATGGGGGGAAATCCCAAAAATGAAAAAAAAAAAAAAAACTTTTGTACAAATAATCTGATAACGCTGATTTTTGAAAGGAACATGTCCATTTACAAAACAAAAGCACCCAGTACATTAAAACTACATAATGCTTTGGTAGGTATTGGGTGAACAACAGATGTGTTAGACGGTGACAGCATCGGTGGACAGTGATAATACTGACAGTGTTCAATATTATACAGACATACCAATGTCTGTATATAAAAATGAATTGAGCTAGTCTGCTTAACTCTGTTACAGCATAGCAAATGGTTTTCTGCCACTGCAAAATGTAAATAAAAGCATGCGATTATGAAAGGTGTCTCAGAAAATAAATCAAAATGTTATCTTTTACACAAAATCCCTGGAATGGGAAAAGGAAAGTACACTAAAACACAGTACTGTTATAAAGGTGAGGTAAATACTAGGTATTTAAGCCAAAAAAAAAAAAAAAACTCAGCAGACCAAGATACATACAATTCAAAAGGATTAGTAAAAACCACACAACCCAAGGAAAAAATATTTCCACTGTCAAAATAATAACATACTTAGCAATGGTTCTAGTTCAGCAAATCATGCAAAAAAAAAAAAAAAAAAAGACTGTGTTACACCACAATCAGTATAATTTTACAGAAAAGAAACTACATTTCATTGGCTATATGCTTACCAGAAGATTTAGAAGTAAGGGTAATCTCATCACAAAGTGAGAGGGCAAACAAACCCTTAACCATCAAACTGACGGACAAACGGGCTTTTTTTTCCCAATTCTTATAATATATATTAAAATGTACAGGTAAAATGTCTCAAGTGTGTCTGGTGTGATAAGAAACATAACAGGACCTACTAAAATTAGCTTTTAATTACAAATTACAACCTTTATAACTATTGCGTTTTGTTAGTCAAAGAGAGTTGAGAACCCCTGACCCACAAAGCAAGCTCAAATTCCCTGAAAGATGCATGTGAAGTTAGTTATTTTTTTGCCATGAAAACCAAACAAAACCTCCATATAGTTTCAAATAGTATAACTTTGTGAAATACCAAAGGACACTGTTTCATATTTTCCGAAAAATTATATATATATGGAAAATTTTCCTTTTTTTCCCTGTGCTATATATAACCACTGATTGCTCTTGGCATCTCACTTGAATAAGTATATGCATTACACACACAGCTACATCCATACATTGGAGTGCATATGCCTATGCAATGCATGCGCAATCTGGTGGCATTTTGTCAACTCTAACAAACTGGAGGACAGATAAATAGGTTAATTTCCAACCAGAATTTCGAGTGCAGTTTTAAAGCTATTTTTTTGAATGAATGAGAGATTAATTTGGTTTATCACTTGACACGTAGACACCATTTTAGTCTTAAAAGAAACTAGTACAAGTGGTTGATATGTGTTACTGGTAATCCACGTTCACTTTACTTTAATAAGCTACCCTTATTTCTAATCTTCAAAAGCAGCACATATTAATATATTTTTGACAATAATAACCTCTTAAAATTTGTACACTTGCACTTAAGTCTAATTTCCAATCCAGAGAAGTTATAAATGCTTCACTTAGAACAGATCACCTCAGCACAAACCAAATAATTATGATTTCTTACCACAGGGAGTCATTCTAATCAGTTATCTGTTCCTATGTTGGAATATGTGGAGGACAAAAAGGTATAAACTGCTGCAGTGAGTATCATTTTCAGCCCTTTTCAATAACTATGTACACAATTTTATAAGAATTGTATTGATAGATGTTTTAATTTGGGGAGGTATAAATACCTGCAGCTAAAAAATGTATCTCCAAAAAACATTAATTTCATAATCTCAAGAATTTTCATGAAAATACACAATATCATTTTTGTCATTTGTGGCTGGTAACAATGGTTGTACAAAAATTTCAACTCTTAGGCTGTATACTGTACCCAGCTGTGGAGATGATAAGAAACCATTCTTATAGCCTACTATACTACTATTCTTATAGCCTACTAGTGAGCACAGTGGTAAGATAAGCCATCATAACTATACTGTAAATACAACTAGACATATGCTACATTCAAATAAGCAGATTTTTTTCTTTCACCGAAATAACTCTCCCCTATTATGCAAGCTTGTTCTTAAATCAAAAGTTATCATTGGGTGACAAACAAGGATGTAAATTTTGGGAACATGGAAGGACAAATCAAATAGAGCATGTAATGGGCAGAAACTTACAAAGAGGAAGACATTCAGGGTTTACTGAAACAATTTAAAAAGAAAAAAAAGGAAAGACAAGAAAAAATCAGTGTGACATTAAACATGAAGGTGAGCATTGCATTTATACATTAGAACACTGAACACTCCCAGCTGTGCAATTTCCCACCTAACACAATACATTTATCTTAGCATATTTCTGCTCCAACCTAACATGCCTGACCAATGCTAAGCAATGATTTCTTCCCANAACTTCTAAAAGAATGGCCCGATTATGCTGATTTTGGAACTCAACCTGCGTTTTAGTTAGTTTGACTACTCCTGTGAGTATAATGACAATTGGCCTATCTGTTTTTCTTATATTGTGTTATTAGCGTTGCATATATGTTGAAAGAAGTGAAAAAACAGCATAACTTCCCTAAAAATGGCCCGATCATGCTGATTTTCAAACTTGACCTGCGTATTATGAATATTCATCAGTTCTGTCAGTTTCAAGCCAAAAGGTAAAATGGTTTTCCATTTATGGTGTTATCGGTGCTGCATATATGCTGAAAAAAGAGAAAAAATAGCCTAAATTCACTAAAAATGACCCAATCACGCTGATTTTCGAACTTGACCTGCGTATTATAAATATTCATCAGATCTGTAAGTTTCAAGCCAAAAAGTAAAATGGTTTTCCACTTATCGTGTTATCGGTGCTGTATATATGCTGAAAAAAGTGAAAAAACAGCATAAATTCCCTATAAGTGACCCGATCATGCTGATTTTCGAACTTGACCTGCGTATTATAAATATTCATCAGATCTGTAAGTTTCAAGCCAAAAAGTAAAATGGTTTTCCACTTATCGTGTTATCGGTAAAAGTGCACGGCGACGACGACAGACGCAGATGATGGCTATATGTACAGACACATCTGTGTCTGTACATAAAAAGGAAAGACAAGAAAAAATCAGTGTGACATATCTAAACATTAAGGCGAGCATTGCATTTATACATTAGAACACTGAACACTCCCAGCTGTGCAATTTCCCACCTAACACAATACATTTATCTTAGCATATTTCTGCTCCAACCTAACATGCCTGACCAATGCTAAGCAATGATTTCTTCCCAAAAAACTGAACGTACACTGTCACATGCAACTGCACACTGTCACATAGACTACTTTTGCTGTAATAATACTAGTTGTTGTTACATATGAGTACTCTCTAAACTGTGACAGTTTTTTAATCACCACTGCATAAGCACCAGTTCACAAGCTGACTTAACATTCCAATTATCATTTGCTGAAATATATTTATACATACCTCTCTCAGCTGTAAGCCCTTCTTGCTCATCTTTTTTGTTTGGATATCTATAAAAAATTTAAATACTTGTTATTTAGAGTTTAGTAAATATGGAGAATTTTGCATCTTGGAATTGGCTCAATAGATTGATTCATAGCACATCAATCAAGCTAAAACTGGCATTTGGACAGATAATCTTAACTGTTAGGGCTATACACTTTGAAAGAACTTGAAACAAGGAAAATGGTTCATTCTGGTTGTTGTTTTTTTAAACATGAAATGTATTCTACGCTTAAGGTGCAGTATTACATAAAGTTTTATCACCACCAAATTTAATCAAAGTACTGTTATTGTGGATATTAAAAAAGTAACCAGGACTTCGGGCCAATCAGAATTCTAGGTCTGCATTATTAAAAAAACCTAGATGGTGCCAAGAGGTAGCCATGGCATACCCCTGCACTTCTCCACATTGTAAAGATGAAAAGACTTTCGACTTTCAACCAACACCCAGGAACAGCCCAACCCAGGGTGCATTAGTGTCATGCACATCCCTGAAGATAGGTCTATCACTCCCCTCCTGATACTAATGGTCTAGCAACAATGACACTGTAAGAGTAATTTACAATCAAATTAGCACAAAAAAAAAAAAAAAAAAAAAAAAAAAAAAAAAANCCTATTAAGTGTTCTGCCACCAAAAACCCTATTGAAAGGATAACAATGTTACTTGTTATTTTATAACTTACAAGAAAAACTGAGGATTGACATAGTCATAAATCCAGCCTGATTGGTTTTTTTCCTTTGAGTTTATTCAATTATTTTGTGAAATTGTCATTTTTCTCATTTTCAATGTGTGAATTTGAGGTCTCATGTTAGTTACATTTTCCTAACATCCATATTAACTGTTGTGAATAATTAAAACTGGCATTGATTTTGGTATTAACCAAAGTGCATTACTGCATCAAAACTAACAAACTAACCTATTTTCTGCCTTTTGTTTGTACATTTGTCAGCTTTGCTGCCTTGTTGTGCTCCCTTAGCAAAACATTAGGCCTGCTGCAAACTGTCTGGCAAGTTTGCTGCCAACTTGCTGCAAATGGGCAAGGAGTTCTTGCAAATTTGCCGTGAATTTGCAGCAAATTTGAAAGAAAATGAATCCTTTCTTGCAAACTTAAGATGTTCTTGCAAATTTGCTGTTAAGTAGCAACAATACAAAATTTTCTTGCTAACTCCTACAAACTGGTTGTCGCAAACTTTTAATCTGCAGCAAATTTGCATCAATATTGCTGCAAACTTTTCATTTTGCTAAGGGCTGTTATTATGAAGATTATTTGTAATAATTATTACATATAGTAACCAGGCATTGTCACAGAAATCAAGGGAATGGGGTCCCTCAGGGTGAGATACTCTTTACAAGGTGGGGAAGTGCAGGGAGAGCGATGACTGTCCATTTAGTTTATGACTGTCCATGTACTATTGTTTATGTGGATATTCACAAAATTTAACTATAAGCACATGACTTCAGGCGTTTGGGGGTTCATTGTCACACCTTGAATATTCCAATATGTGAAAATTCACACAAACTGCATATCTTCTAGAAAAATGGTCCAATAAAGTTGCCATTAGAAGCTGTATTTTGGTGCTATGAATCAGTTTAAGCATTTTACTGTTATCTTTTTAATGTGTTAAAAGTGAAAAGAGCACAGCATGGTTGGTGGCAGACACTGTTTAAAATCTGATATACAATTAAATTATACTTACAAATAGTAGTGCACAAAAGAAATAATCACGGCAACAAGGTAAAAGAAGCCAAAGAATGCTACTGCTGTACCTATGGCCACATAGTAGTCTGTCACTAAAATAAAAATCCTCACATATAAAGCAAGCACATGAATAAATATGAGGTAATTTCATACAAAATTTGAACAAACTTACTTGCAATGCTTAAAATAGTTCCTTTCAAAGGGTTTTAAAAAAGCAGGAATTGTTCAAAAAAGGAATTATCAATTGAATATCAGAATGAGATATAAATAAATAAATACAATTTTGTGAGTATGTAATAACAATAACAAGTACAATGCATGCAGCACACACGAAATTTGTATTAACCCCCAAATGTAATATGTTCAGGTAACATTTAAAATTTAACCAAAGTAAAGTGTACAATAAATAGCAATGATGAACAGACAAATCAAACAACTCTCATCACCTTTATCTTTAAGATAAATACTTTCCCTTATTACAGTTTTTAAACCATCCAAGGAGTGGAATGTGGGAGGTGTTGTGTGAGAGAGAGAGAGAAAGTGAGAGAGAGAAAGCGTGTGTGAGTGTATGTGTGTGTGTGTGTGTCACTCACCTGTCAAACTGTGTTCCACTGTGACAGTTACACTCTTCCACCTCCCCTCCTTGCCAGGTGGAGCCACCTTCTCTGTACCCAGACACTCATAGTCCCTTGGCTTCACTACCAGGACTATGTACACAGCTTTACCAAATACAGATTTCTATAAGAATGTAAGAAAAGTATGAAGATATTAACATACATCATTTCAAACATTAAAAATTATTTCATATCAATTTGCCTTTTAACTTAAAAGGTTAAATTCATTTAACATTTTAAAATATACATAATATACTGTTATTAATGTATGATTACTTTCTTATTTTACAAAACAGTGTTTCTGTGCATAATTACTTTTGTGGTAAGGAGAACACTTTACATGTTAGGCATTTGTTTTCTTTACTTTAGGCGAAATGTCCCATTAAAAGAGATGAATAGGTCTCTGGTGGCAAAAAGGTCACAAATGTAACCAGGCCCATAGCCAGCAATTTCAGAGGGGGGGGGTTTGTTTTCTGAAAAAGTGGACCTTTTACCATAAAATCCTCATGTACATAGATCAAATTTTACCCAGAGTGGACCTTTTCCCAGCAAAAAGGGTGGTTCTTTCGAACCCCCCGAACACCCCCTGGCTACGGGCCTGGTAAAAAAAAATTCTCAAAGGTTTCAAAAAAGCTGGATCTGTCAAGATTCAATCAAAAATAATTGTTCATTTTTACCATGCTTATCATTTTTAAGCAGCATTTCTAACATGATTGTGACACCAATCAGTGTGACAACATTGTGACATATTTCTGACACCACTGTGACATAACTCTGACATCACTATGACATCATACCTGCACAGATATAGCTGCTTTTTTGGTCATAGTCTGGTATTCTCCTGTGAACTCCACATTTCTATCTAGGTCAAATACAGGACACTACAAATAAATAAAAACCAATTTAATTTGTATTAAGTTAATCAATGTAGTACATTAACCCATCTAAGAAGGTTGCTGATTACAATTAACTCATCAAAGAGAACACATCTAGTCCTGCCAATGGCAATGGAACGTGTTAATCATTACATGCCTTTCAACTGGCTGCTTTCCATAAAGACAAAAAAAAAACAGCTCAACACATTAGACTTCAAATTATTGCAAATGTCTCAAACAAATGTTTATTGGAAAAATTTGGCATTACCTGAAATTTATGTGAATATAAACGTTGTTTTTCTCGTCGATCGTCAAAATAGTTACACGATCAACGAAAAAAGTGACAGCATTGGTTTTAATACACCGTAGATGAGAAATGTTTGACAATTGAATTGACGAAAAAAGTGAATGTTGAATTTATGACAGGGTCGTTTAAACTTGAAACTGAATCGATGGGAAGGCAGTGAATCGACGAAACATAACTGAATCGACGACATGAATTTTTGCCCTTTTGGCCGCCCATACAAGCTGATGTACGTCCTGTGAACAGAATAGTTTAAATGTAATCTACACCAGTGATCCCGTACTTACATGGAGTTCCTGTATAGAGAGCACCATACACAGGTCGTCCTCTGAGGAAGCACGTACCAGGACTTTGTCCACATTCTCTGGAAACACGTACTGGAAGTATATTGGTGTTGAGGGGGACACCTCTAGCTGGTACACCTTCCCAGTGCTGGAAGAAAGTTTCCAACAGAAGTGGTTTGGTGACTTTTACAGAGTAGGCAATATATCTATTATGCTTTATTAAAAAAATTACTAAATAAAGAGCTCTAGGTACATTTCTCAAATCATTTACAAGTTGTAGTAAAACATTCTGGGTAAAGAATAAATGTTATTGCAAATTGTACAAAATAATAATAATAATAATAATAATTATTATTATTATTATTTTATTTTTTTGTGTGGTTAATTAAAAAAATATTTTCTCTACATAATTGTTTTATAAAAATAATCTACTGATTAAAAACCTTCTATATCCACCTTCTGAACTCTGTTACATGACAGCCATCAGATGCCAGACCACTTACATAAAAAAGAAGTCTGCCACTCTGGAAGCATTGAGTTTATAGTATATAGCTTGCTCAGAGAAAGAAGACACTGAGACTTCGATATCTTCCTTAGTCACAGTGGCATTGTCTGGGATGACCTTGCCCTGGTTCTCGTTACACAATGTTCGGCTGACAGTATAGTAATTATAGCTGGAAAGACAAATGGATTTATAAACAACATCTTTGGCCATGCACACACAGGTGTGCACTGAAATCAGGTCATAACTTTAAAACTCATCTGACACTGCTATATTTCATGGATTCATCTGGGATGAAGAAAGCCAAGGTGCATGTATGTACTCATTCCTCGGTTCACATATTATTTTAAGTGCACTTTTGTGAAAAAAACAAAATAATGTCAATATACTAAATGTGCATGTGTTCAAAGTTGAGGGGGGACTGCCAGTAGAGGATGCTGCTGTAGTTTAATGAATACTTACGTATGTTCCAAGATGAGGGGGAGCTGCCAGGAAAGTATACTGCTGTAGTTTTATGAATACTTACGTATGTTCCAAAATGAGGGGGAGCTGCCAGGAAAGTATACTGCTTTGCTGTTTCTCCACAAACAGTACTGGGGTCTTGCTGCTAGCAGTTGCATTCGCTTCTACATGGATACGGACAGCATTGGTCTGTAAATAATAATAGTAACAATAATGATAATAATTATTATAATAAAAACTAGACTGTGTTAACAGGAATTCAGCCATACATGTTCCCACAATTCCTTCCATTGTATTTAGAGTAGCTAATTACCCTGAGGGACCCCATAGGACATTGTTGAAATTACAATGTAGAAAATTAGAAGCATCCAACCCCCATGGACAGCCCAACCCAGAGTCACTCTTAAAATACCTAAGTGCCCATGCACAGCCCTGATGATAAGTCTATGTATTATCAAAGTTTCAACTTCCTCGCTCAAATAGTCTGAGAGGATAAAGCACAAATTTCCAATGCATGGACAGATGGGAAGATACATAGATAAATGGACAGGTGGGTTAAAATGATCTCCAACTTGTGTCACAAAAGCTAGTATGAGGATAATAATAATAACGACAACCTGAAATTATACTGCATTAACCAAAATTGTAAAGAAACTGGTATTGCCTTACTACAAAAGAATATTACTTCATATAAATAAGTGCACATCAGAGACATGCACACAGTTACACCAGCAGACAGTCTACACCGTATGTAGTTTGAAAATGCAGTTACGGGACAGAAGCCTGATGGAATACATTACTGAATGTGTATATGCCTACATGTATTCACACTAGAGATTATCAAAATTAAATAAGAGAAAAAAACTGTTACATGATGCCCCACAAAACCCAACAGCAAAGTTAATTTATATACTCAGTCGTGGCAAAACTGTCTATTTATCTATTCAAATGGATATCAAATCAATCTTTCTTTGAAATTAAACTATCAAATTCTAGCACAGCATGTACATGCATGTAGAAGTGGTTTTCTTTGTCTGTGAGAAGAAATGAAAAAAAGAAGACCCTGAGTGATCCAAAAAAAGCAAGTCAAAAAAATAAATAATTATTTAATAAAATATGAGAGTTGGCCTGTCAAGTGTTAAAGCATTCATGAGCAAGAGAATTAAGTAACGGCGCGCACCAACATTGGCTATAGCTATGTGTAATTTGTCACCAGCTGGGATCATATTACATGGCTATTCTCACACCTTATACATATTATTCACAGAAACCAGGGTTATGTAGCTGTCTCTATACAAATAACCATCACAGCAAACCTAAAGCTATTCATTCCACTGTAACATTCATCCAGATATTGATTGAACTTACAGGAAGGAGATTATACCAGAGAAGGTTGGTGATGACATCCCAATCATCTCAGTTATCTGAAACATTCATTTTTGAACAGCTCATAATGTACCCAACCTTCCCCTGGGTTTTAAGATATTCACACTGCTCCATATAGCAGGAATGTCTACAGTGTATGAATGCATGAACTTATCAATTTCACAGTGTATTCAGTACACAATTTCCAGTGAAGTGATCATAATAGTTTTGTTTGTGTGAAGTTATCAGTATAGTGTGGTTTTAGCAAAGATATTTTAGAATGACTGGGTGCAATATAATCTTCATTTTTCACAACACACTGGTTTTGGCAAGAAAAGTGACTGACCAAAATCAATATGGCGAGAGGCTGTCACTTCACCCTCCATAGTTCCCCAGTGGAAATACTACAGCTACACAGAGACAAGGTGTCCTGAAACTGGTCAGAATTTTTCAAGAATTTCTTGAATGCTTCCACTACTAACAACTGCCATGTACATGTAGTCTTTGGTTAGGCACACTGCCTGACAGTCATTCATGAGGCTGTTCTTGAAAGTAGCTATAATACTACTGATCTCGTCAACCTGGATATGCTGGCGATCAGCTGGTAAATGCCTTTGGCAACAACGGCTAATTGACTTGTTGACAAGTGAACAAGAAAATACATGAATTAGATGGGAAAATCATGCAGGCGACAAAGTTTTGAATTTATTGGAGTTCATATGTTACGGACTTAAAGCAATGCATACCACAGGGTTCTTTGATATCCCCCAATGCAGTGATATCAGCGAATTCTATTAAAAATTAGGGGTTTTGGCTGGGAAACATGTCGTACATGTCAAGACAGCTGATATCCGAGCAGAAAAATTATAGATAGTACTAATAATAATTAGATAACCCTCAAAAATGTGCCAATGCTAGTCAAGAGCTTACTAATTATCAGGTTAAATTTATATTTCTATGCCACTAAAAGCCTTCCCTGCTTGGAAAGTTATACACATTTGTCCTACTTGTATGTTGTCACACTAAATAATTTTTAAATTTCTGTCATCATCAAGCAACCAGAGATCATACTGCTCAAGGATTCATACTTTAAAGACATTTGTACAGCTATCAGAGAAAAAAAGTCCAGTAATCACCTCTGATCTGCTGCACGTACCACTACATGTGGGTTGTTAACCATCATACCTTGCAATTACGTATAGTGCTGTTTGGCTAAAATCATCAATATAGTACAGCAGCAGTGTGACTTAATTCAGCTGCTATATGGTAGCTGAATTTATAAAAGCTATCAGAATTTCTTGCGGCACTCAATCCACATTAACTTAGTTCAAGATGTATCCTGAATCACCTAACACTATGAACCTGATTCAACATTATTCATATTATTAATATTATTATTATTTTAAAGAATAAGCCTCCTATTCCCTAAAAATCCAATAACTTTTACATGTTATTATCCACTGTAAAAACCTTAAAAGTTTTTTCTTTGATCAATTCTTATGCTGGTATATACATGAATATCTGCTCCAAAAAAATTTCCATACTGGTATAAGACTATAACTATTTCAGCACGTGTTATTCCATATCATACAAATGTACCACGCAATGAACCAATATTTAATCAATTTAATCAATATAAAGCACATGCAGAAAAATCTTCTCCACCTCTCACACACCTCCCCACGCGTTGTCCCTGCAGGGGCACAGTAATTAAATCTTGGCTCCATTCCAACGAACGCATGTCAGAGGCGGAGAGACCATTACAGGATTAAGTGGTCTTCCTTTCATGTAGGGTCCACCATATTTGAGCCTTGGGTCAGTTGATACTCGGATCTTCTATTCTGAATGGCCCCTACATGTATATTTTTTCGCACAGCTAATACATTACTAGGCTGAGTTTGTTTTTTAAAACAGGACCCATGATTACAGAACACACTTCTACTCTATTCAATATCACATTATCACCAACCACATCTAATATTGCCTATCAGACAGGCTGGACTATATTCTGTAGACAACTTCTGGGCTCTTGCACTATTAAATATTATCTCTCAATTCATTACTGCAGTCATCTATAGAGTGGATTCATTTCCTTGATTCATCTACACTAAGCCAAGCATCAATTATTCAACCATGTACATTATTCTTTCCTTTGTCTTAAATGAACAAAGGGAGTTACTGTATACCAGTAACAGAGAAGCCTGGTGTTCTGACTTGACAGTTTGTTTTAGTGGATTTTTAATTTATCATTCTTACTGTAATAATTTTCATTTATTAATTTTTGGTTGTACACAGCTCCAGTAACATGTCAAGCACAGTTTGTTAAGAAATTTATTATCATTATTGGATATAGTTTTGTCTCAGTTGATGATAAGCCAGGTAGAACTGTTAATAGTGACGAAGAAAAGCACAAATGATCTGATACAAATGAATAAATAGACCTGTGACTAATTATGTCACTGTAAATGTACATTAAGCCACATTCCAGTTTTGCCATGCTTTCAATAACTAACAACTTCTCATTATTGCTTTGATATCTGCCATATTAAATTACACTTTTTTACATAAATGAACAGTAGACTGTGTATTAGATACACAAAACCAATATTCTTAACATGTAACAACAAGATCTGAATAAATTATTATTGTGGTTGTTGTTGTCATTATATATTATATATCATTATTATTATTATTATTATTATATTCATAATATTTAGTACTATTATTGGGTGTTTGCAAAATTACCATTAAAGGGATAATAACCATTCGTAAGATATCCATATTTCACAATAAATACACTGTAAACAACTCACAGAAACATAATAAATTATATTTTACCACCAAAACGGTAGTTAACGCAATCATTCTAGAATTTGTGCTTGCCATCACATCACGTGACCTCCACATAGATGGCTGCACTCTGTAATAATCTCTTAAAGATGCATACATAGTCAATTTTTTGCCACAAAACCAACCAAATGCCAGCATACCGTTTCAAGTAGTATAACTAAGAGAATTACCAAAAGGCATTGTTTAATATTACCCAAAAATGATGTTTGAACGGATTTTTTTGCTAGCATTCTATACTGTAAGTCAGTAGGGCAGAAAAATAGGTCACGAAAGTAGGTTAAATTTCCGACCAAAAATTTAAAGAAAATTAAAGGAGCAGTCTAAAGCTCTTTTATGGCTGATCGAGTGATCTATTCAGTTTATGCCTTGACATGTCGAATTTATTTGAGTCGTATAAGAAATTAGTAGAAGTGGTTTACATGTGTTACTTGGAATCCACGCTCCACCGATGTTCGGTTCGTATGTACCTTTAAGATTATTACAAAAAAAAACTAACTTTTTAGAAAAAAAAACAGGGACCAACTTTGAATATGGGAATGGATTGATTAAACATTGGTAAGTATGGGAAAATTGTCCTTTACCCCAGGAAAATCTATTTTTTGGTCAAAATGAACAGTTGTTATCCCTTTAACATTATTCTGTTAGGTTATTAAGCAGTAGGTTTTGCCAACAATAGTATTAAAAATAATGTCTTGCTGAATTACATAAACTGTTCAAAATACATTGACCTATTATGCACAAAATGACTAGAAAGCTTATAATGTAAAAACATTCTTGGGTTCAATAATTTAAATTATAATAATAACAACAACAATTATTATTATTATTATTATTATTATTATTATATAGCAGTAATACCAGCAGCAGATGGCAGGTCCAGTTTTATACTGATACTCCATAACTTCCAATTCCCAAGTCACCAATCCATCTTCAATAGACGTAAGTACTAGGACTGCAGTCCAATCTCCCTGGGGTATAAAATATAGCTGAGGGTTCCTAAACTGCAGTCTCAAGTTCTTTGATGTGGTATATGTAAAGTATCATTGTGATTATCTGCTCTGATCTTTTTTTCTGAAGTATTCCACTACTGGGAAAATCTGCACCGTTTAGATGCTTCTTTCAAGATATGAAATGTTCATATAAGCACTGCCTGACTGCTAATTTTTTAAAGATGCTTTGCCTTAAGTAATATACAGAAAGAGTACCAACCCTTAATCCGCTTACTTACCCATTTGGTACATTCCATGTGGCACAGATTGTTTACAGTGCATTTCTCCCATAGAAAATAGTCGAGAAAAAAAAACCTGGATGAAAGTTGTCCACATTGTTTGTGCTTTTTTGTATGATTTTTGCAAACACTTTTATTTGTACTCTTGCAAGTTGTAAATTCAGTGTTGTCAATCACAAATCAACGGCTATAGATCAAAAATGGCAATTGTTGTTTGTGAGGCCTGATATACAGTATAATATATTAGAAAATGCAAATGAAAACTTGAGAAAAAATCTACTGCTGTAACTGACTTTCCCAACTGCCCCCCAAAAATTTTTTTTGAATAAGCCTATAGTTAACACCTATCAAATGAGATCATGTGAGACCAACAATATAGTTTTTTTTCAAAACTTGCATGTGCATCTGTCTATAATATACAAAATAATGCCCGACTAGTAAGTGCTGTGAAGCAACAAATAAAAGCTGATAGAAATTACCCACAGACATTTTTGTGGTTGATTTTTTCCTAAATTTTGAAAAACTAGTATTTTGCAGAACAGTGAATTTTCGTCCTATGTGCATTTTGTAAGTTAGTATTATACTGCTTTCCAAGACATCCAGGCACACAGAAAATTGGTAAAAAGTGAGCCCACTTCAGTTCACACTGATGCTTGCACATTTTCTTGTCTTGTATAAGGTCACGCAGTGCCTACAGGCTTGTTTTATGCTATTTCAGATGATTTCCCTTCACAATCAGCATTGTCATAATGACCTTTCGCATGACCCCATCTCAAAACCACCACATCTTACACAATGTCACAACCAACACATTTAGCACAATGTTACAACCATCCCATCTAACACAATATCACAACCATCACATTTAACATAATATCACAACCAGCCTATCGAACACAATATCACAACCACCACATCTAACACAATGTCACACGTCCTCCCATCAAATATAATGTCACAACCATATCAGCTAACACGTCACAACCTCTTCATGTAACACAATGTGCCCCTTACTTCATCCATCACAACACAATACAACAAACAGAGTCTCAGTTACATAATATATACCTAACAGTCTCAGTTACCCACTATACACCTAACTATACTCAGTATGGAACTTTGACCAATTCACTGATCAACTGAACAGTGTAATATCAGTAAAGGCCATTTACACATTAGCCAGTGATCTGACATCATTAGCCAGTAAAAGTTTGTGGGGAGGAGTAGATCTTTCAGAATGTGTAAATTCAGTTGTTTGACTTGGACAGTAGATTTTTTCATAAAAAATAACCTTTTTCCGCAATTTTTCTAACATATGTTTGAGTGTGTCGCACTTGCCACCTACCAACAAATTCAACATCAGATTCTCCCAAACTACTAAAACATGTAAAAAATGACACCAATGTGTATTCTTCATTGCTACATGTTTGGTAAGTGCCTACCATATTTAGGTGAACTTAGGTCGGCTGAAAAGGCTCTTAGTTAAGTGACTGCTTAATTGAACAGGCATGAAAATAATCTTTCACCATACTGTAAACTGAAGATAAGGTTACTTTTATGTTTGGTTTAGTTATTCAATAGTTATTTACATTTTTATGGTGTCAAACAAAGTCACACAATGAAAATGCCCAATATGTGAAAATTAAAATTAAAAAAAAAATAATAATAATAATAAAATAAATAACTTCAAGAAATATAATCTAACAGATGCTATTTTTTTTTTAATTTTTGACTTGTATTAAAATGCCATAAATAACTCAAGATATGTCTGAGGATTTTTAGTCACACTGTTTTCCATAAATTGTGTTGATGGCACACAGTACACTGTGATGACAAAAACAATGTCCACAATGACACCCCCACCACTGACAGACACAGGTGATGGTTATAATGTAAAGACAGACTGTGTCTGTATATAAAAAGCCAGCTAGAATAAAATAAAATAATCTCATGCCCAAAAACAGTCACCCCCTGTCCCTTACCTCATTCAGAAACACATTGAAGGCATAGGTGTGAGATTTTCCCTTGAACACTGTCCCCACATAATTGGTATCCAGCTGGGCGTTCTGGGTGTTCTGGGCGCTGACATACCACACCAGGAGGACAGCACACAGGACCCACACTGAGTATACGCAAGCCATTATATAGGGCTGATCTCCAAGTTTACATCATTCCTGAAATTACATTTTGTAAATACTCAAGTGACTGAATATCTACTCACTGAACTGTCAGGCAACATCATTTTGATGTCTGTCACGCCTACTAGTACTGAAGCTGCTAGGGGGTAATTAACTATCTTTTAGCAGCTTCAGTAGGCGTGTCAGACATCTAAGCACCGTAAGCTGAAAGTAATTTAGGGAGAATCCCCTTGGCAATACATCGATATACGTAGGTATAGGAACCCAGTCAAAGAAAATATAATTATTCATTTCAGCATAACAGTCTTAACTAGGTATGTGTAATTCACTGGATGATTGATAACCTGAAAACATATCTACATATATCTACGTACAGTAGTTTTATTTTAGTAAGTTAGATCTAGATTACACATGACTACAGTTCTAGATTAATGTTATCAACCTAAACACTTCCATTGCCTAAAAACATCACTAAATGTCAACGGCAATATAGCAGTTTTATCAATAACTTAATCACATCAAGCCACCTTTATACTTTATGTAATGAAAATACACTTACTGACACTTTTAACATACAACTACAGTGTATCTACCTATATAAATAAATACATTATGTTCATTATTTAACATTTTTCATTAAATTTTGAACCTTTCAGTTCTGTAAGGTATAAACTGAACAAAATAAGTCCTCTCTCAGTCTAATTTTCAATGAGGTTTGTCAAGGGCCATAAAGCCTTCAGATTCAAACTAAAATAAAGCTTGAAACATACAGTTGTATCTACCCCAGACTTTAATCCCCTGCATGAAGTATGGAGCAGAATATGGATTCATTATAAGGCAAAAGAAAATCACCTTTGAAATGTGGATAAAAAAAATTTATTTAGTAACTTCTCTGCTTTCTGCCCTGCAGTTGGTTTAGTGCAACTGTGCATGTCCAAATGTTACCGTGCATCATCAGCACACAAAGATCCATACTTGATATACATGTGAAATGACAGACCTGCAGTTTACCAATATTACATAAAACCAATAAGCAAACAACAACAAACACAACACTAGTACACGTACAGTAACTTGTACAAGTAGCGGCCGGCTAGGGTCAGGCTACCTGTATATAATGTAGTCTGAAATGTAAGATACCTGCTGACTTGCATGTCTAATATTCCTAGAGATATCAGTGAAAAATTTGCCTTCAGAATGACGGGTGGCACAGAGCTCACCGCTGACTGAATATCTCAGTGAAGCTTGCTTGGCTGACAGCCGGCATTTCTTTTTTGTTCCAGTGATCAATTAATGTTGACCACACAAGTCACGAGACCACAAATCATCATTTTATTGTCAGATGCAGAATTTATCAAGTGATAATTTATATGGCGTTTTACGTACCTTTTTACGCCTCCTTTCTAATCCATACCACCCTCCAGCGTATGCCACGTCCACTCAGATAAATTAATCAGAGACGGGGGATTATTTTCTATAGGTGTACAGCTGTACTAGCAGTCGAACTTCCATAACCAGGAAGTATTCAAATACGCATGCGTGTCGAGTTAGGACAAGCAGCTACAGAAGGCCTAGGTGTCGCGAGTCAAGCGTCAGGTGTCGTCATGAGCCAGAGTGCTAAACACCTTGTCTACGTACGTGCACCTTCTAGATCTGTTCATCAATAATCTATATCAGTAGGCTTGGTTTTACAATACTTTGACCTACTCTCAATCTCAGTTGATTCAGCTGAAGCATTTCATCTAATATTGATAACGTTTATTATAGAAAACAATAACTAATACGTGCATGTAGGGCCTACTCAGTACAATGTATCCATGTCTGAAGAAAAATCCGGTAATCTTTTCACAAAGTAAAACAGAAATTCAATTAAAAGTCGAAGTGACACTTTGGAGTACAAATAGAGGGGTCCCTTCCCCACCCACCACCCCTTAATTCCCGTCCCCGTTTCCTTTATCGCCGGTTCTTACTCAAAATAAGAATAAAATTAGGGCTTACGTAATGTTATATCTAAGCTCAAAATATCCAAAATACTGAAAATAAAGAACCCTGCCGATGACAATTCAAGCTTGTCACCTTTAGTTCGATGTCACTGGTATATATGCACATATGTATGTAGGCCCTACATGAAAAAAAAAAAAAAAAAAAAAAGAAAGAAAGAAACGACTGCAGACTTTCTGAAAACCGTCGTCCTGTTCACATGTCGGGGCCGTAGGCCGGCCGGCAGTGCCGCCACCCCAGCGTCCAAATGTCAGCATCGCAGCCACCACATGTCAGCGACAGCAGACACAAGTAAGCAGAATCCATCTACATATTAAAGTACAAGGATAAAAAATGGGAGTTTCCCACAGTTCTCCGAGTCCATCAGATTGCCCCTACTTTGATATTGATTACGAGCGTCCAGATGAATAGGGTTACTTACATCTAGGATGTCTCTCCACCATCCACCATACATATAGTCTTCTATCTGTTAGAAAATTGTACAAAATAATTATTAACAATTTTGTGATATCTAAATTATCAATCACTGGTTAATAATAATAATAATAATAATAATAATAATAATAATAATAATAACAATAGCAATTCAGTTCTTTAGAATGCGCTACACACGCGTCCCAAAAGACTAAAACTACAGAGATAAATTAAAAATTAACATATAAATAATTAAACTCAAAGATACTAGTTAACAAAAATGTTCTTTAAATAAAAAGGTTTTTAAACATTCTTTTTAAAACAATGATAAGCATCATTAAAAGTGACATTTGATATAAGTGAAATTGGACCACGAAAGGAGGGTCCCATTGGGGGTGGGGACTTGATCCTAGTTCACGGGAAATAAAAATCATCATTCTACAAATAACAGGAAATATAAATATAGTCATATCTCATCAATGATGCGCGAAGAAAATCCTGATAATCACGAATGGTACCTAAGAGATTCATCTCACGAAGGGTGGAGAATAAAAAGCGGCATTCACGAGCTAGTCACGGGAATAGGGTGCTTCCCGAATCACGCTAAAAATGCACATTTCACGCATCACGGGAAATAAAATTTGCATTTTTGTTACGGGTATCGAAAATAACCAATAAAACCGTTAAAATTGGTGCAGTAGTCTCAAAACTCCTGCTTCCATTTGCTTTAAGAGTCTTTTTTATCATTTTGCGTAAGTTGAAGTTGACCACTGGCTATTTTATTGATAAGTTAAGTGGACAGTCGTCCTTTGAAAATTTAAAAGTCAAGAAAGATATCTTATAGACTGTTCTTTGAGACACCGGTGAAGACCGGGAAGAACTGGTGCGATGTGTTGCTTGGACATAAAAACATTAGGCTATTATGTTGGTGGTAGGCCCTACTTCTGAGATTTTCGGGGAAGACCAGCTGCTGAATTCCAAAAAGACTTAACTTTTCCCATTTAAAAGTTAGGTATTCCAAACAGGAGGGGATGTAAAATGGACAGTTGTCCATTAAAAAATTTAAAAGTCAAGAGTAATAGGTCTATTTTATCAAGGAGTTATAACAGACTAGGCCTATATAACTCCTTGATTTTATAGACTATTCTTTGAGACACTGTATGGTAGCCAATGAAGATTGCGGAGAACTGGTGTAGCTCGGCTACATGTGATGACTGTTATGTGATGGGACTTCTGTAGTACAAAATGTAGAAAAGCGTGTGGTATGATTTTGTACAGTAGGCCTATTTTAGTGGGGCCCTGATTTCTGAGGGTACCCACGACCCACCTCGTGCATGTAACGACCCACCTCGTGCATGTAACGATTTTACGACAATCGATTTCGAACCTGAACCAATCAAGGTGAAAGCCGAGCGTGGCCTGGGTAGGTTCTCGAATACAAAGCGACCTCTAGAGGCAGGACCTCACTTGTCACGATTCCTGCATCAAGGTGACACGACCAAGTGACACAGAACCAACAGATACAGGTAACCAATGAATAGTAAACACCGATCTACAGTTGTAACGTAACAAATACTGATTACAGCTGTCAACGCAAGTTGTGGGGTTTTGGAACGACCAGAGCACAAACGGTAGGCCTACATATAATGATATGCATTCAGACTTTTCAGTACAAAATATACAGTATTATAAGTGCGTGTAGACGGAGCTCTATATGTAGTACGCTTACTAGTATTAGCAGCAATGTTTATAATTAACAGTGCGTGTGAACCGACGTGTTACTGTAATTAGTGGAGTTCTAGTTTATACTTACACATGTAGTAAAAGTGCTCTCTTACCACAGATTGCGATAGTAATCAGTTACAAAATCATATATTGTATCGCCTATGTTTAATTATGTATCCTATTTTAGCAATTAGAGGCCCCTGATATCAGAGGGTATAGCAAAAGTATCAGCAACGTCACTTTGCTATATAGCGTAAGCAGTGGCGGATTTGGGGGGGGGGGGGGGGGGGGGGAGGGTACGAAAGGGCACTGTTTGTTCCCCAAAGCACCAAAATTTTTTTCAAAAGCCACTCTCATAGGGCGATGGTCAGCTTCGCATCCAAGGCCTGTTGTTCTGGCCCCCCTTCCTGGATCCGCCCCTGTAAAGTATGGTGAATAAATATAACAACAGGTTAGTATAAACAGTTCATTTAGGAAACTGTTTACTTAGTGTATTAACTTCAAACAATATTCTGATTTAAACACTCCACCCAGTCACATCCCATTGGGGGGGGTGGGGGGTGCAACTTTATGACGTACCATAGTCCCCATTCAGAATAGGGGACTAACTCGTCCAAGGGCCAAATATGGTAGACCCACTTGGATACTTCCCCATGGGATATCTATTCAGTGTCTGTTAGCGGATTAGACGGCAAGCTTTAATTGTAGTCAGTTGCCATATTTGACCCGCGGACTAGTAAGTCCCCTATAATTCTGAATGGGGCCATAGATCAATCCATCTGTACATGCCAAGCCTGAGATTCCTATCATCTAAAAGCAGATTTCTGACAGAAATTAACTAAAATCACATATCCTTATATAAAATATATTCTAAGATTATCAACTGAAGGTAAAGTACATGTATAAAGCTCCAGTGTTCAGAAAATTAAAAGTTTTCATTTAAACTTTTCAGAAAAGCTGATAGTAGCTGGTCAACACAGTAGAACCTAATTATGGGACTCATATTTCGACAGGTAAGAAGGAGGATGTGAAATTTTTGTAGGTATTTCATGTATAATTTTATACTGTACTAGTATATACACACATTTCAACCACTCTCTCACACCATTATCTTTTTGGCATTCTAACTGTGCTCATTGTTTTTCAGTGTTTTATTCTCAGCTGGTTTTTAAAAATGATTGCATCATGAAATACATCAAAATTTACGTGCGGAGATATTTGATCCCAATTAGAAATCTTTAGATCTGCCTTTGTTCATTGTATTTGCTTGTTATATTCATGATCATGGAATTGAATGAAGGTGTTCTTTTTGCAGCAGTGTTTAATGAATTGTTGTTTTGCGTAAACATCCATCCCAGCAAAATTAGTCTTGTCATGTGATTCTAAACTGTTTTTAATCTTTTTAAGGGAAAATTAAACATTGCAGTTTACTGAATCACTGCCGGACATATGAATTTTCTTCTCTTCCAATTAACCGTAACACTGTTGCCTTAATATATGATAATCCTGTTCAAATGTTGGTTTAAAGCTTAAGATAACAAATGTAAACAGCAACATCATTCATTAAAATTCATTATTTTAAGCCAAGCCAGTGACATTTAGGTAGAAAGCAAAAGGTACACAGTAGTTTATTCCATATTCCTCCCGAGCCCCCACTTAATTGTTTTAAGTTTTAAATACTAGTAGATGAAATTCAAAATATCAGCTGTTATAGGTAGAGTTATATATATTTATAAATATGAACAATATAATCAGCTTTCTGTGATAAACAACTGTCATGTTTTGTCTTGTTGAAATTGGCATTCACTGAAATAAATTTTAAATAGTACATGTAGGTGCTTGACAACTGAACTCTGGGCCATATATGTGTGTGTATGCTCTCTCCAGCCACTCTGTGATTTGGTCACAGCTGAGGGAGTACATACCGGGGTAGTGAGGGGTTTACTTACTTTACAAGTCACAAGGAGAGTTATCTTAAAAACCCATTGAGGTGTGCAGCATATAAAATGACTGCCGACAGTAAGTCTTTCCATAGGTTTAATTCAAGCTCTGTTTTATTCAACCATAGTGAAATATAATATAGCAGTATCAGTGTACTTTCTTTAGGTTTTGACCAGACACATTTTATCATTCAAACACTGTGAAATGAGATATGTGTGCCTTCATTCAAAAGGTGCTAGTGTGACTGTCTGTATGCACTGCTGAAGTCGGGGCTTCATGTGCACTATTCTTGTTGCCACAGTTAATGGGAAGTACTGTACCATTTATCTTTATACTCACAGTAACTGTTATAACTCTTGAAAGAAAAGTAAAATGCTGCTGAAATTTAAAAATGGGCACAACCAGATTATTCTGTATAATTTTTGATGTAGATTTTTTCAATAATTTTGTATTGATCTGTGGACTCTGGTGTGTCATCTAATTGGTAAATGTTTTAGCTGAAATCTGCTGGTGTTACTTTTTGGCCTAAGGCCGCATTCACATCGAGTTGAGCCATGGCTCTACAAAGCCATGACCTAAATATGGCGGACGTACATGAAAGGAAAACTGCCTAATCTTTTAATAGTCTCTCCGCTTCTCACACGCCTCCCCATATGACGTCGGACCCAATGGAGCCGAGATTTAATGACTTTAATGACACAGGGACGACACATGGGGAGGCGTGTGAGAGGCAGAGAGACTATTAAAAGATTAAGCAGTTTTCCTTTCATGTACGTCTGCCATATTTAAGTCGTGGCTTTCTAAAGCCATGGCTCAACTCTATGTGAATGCGGCCTAAGACACATGTACAGGTTAAATTTCATAGGATCAGAATTTGGTACATCTAGGCATATATGCATGATCTTATTTTTCCTTACATTTATTTCACTTAATTTAGGTTTTTTTATGTACAAACACAAGAGTGCCATTCACTTTTTAGTCACAGCAACTTTTGGTTCTTAAAGCAAATGAAAGATGGTTGGATGAGGGGGGAGAAAATATCGCTATTAAATAAATAAATATTCAAGCAGTATCTCCAACACATTGTGTAAAATAAGCTAGATTAAATGTTATATAGTTTCATCATACTATATATCTCATGAAATTCTGATTTATTTGTAAGACTTCGCCTCTCCATTCACAGCTCTTTGAGAGTGTTTCCTCCACCTACACATACATCCTAGCAGATGAAGAGACCAAGGAGGCAGTCATCATAGACCCTGTGATGGAGACAGCAGAAAGAGATGCACAGCTAGTAGAGGAGCTGGGACTTACACTGAAATATGCAGGTACATACAGCAAATTTGTGACTGTGAATTTATACAAGTGTGTAGTAGGGTTTAATCCTTATATATATAGAGAGAGAGAGCCTTCACGTAGCGTGCATATATCAGTACATGTGTGTGTGTGTGTGGGTGTGCATGCGTGCATGTGTGTGTGTGTGTGTGTGAATGACTGGGTTTGTACGTGGCCGTAACTGATGGTTTGCATACAAAACATTTTCCTTTCTGTGCTCCAGTGAACACCCACGTCCACGCAGACCACGTGACAGGCACAGGAGAACTGAAGAAGAGGATTGCTGGCTGCAAGAGTGTCATCTCCAAGGCAGCTGGGGCCAAGGCAGACATGTTTTTGAACAACGGGGACAAAGTGGAATTTGGGAAATACCACTTGGAAGCCAGGAGCACACCTGGTCATACTAATGGTGACTATGGAAAATTTTAAGGAATACTTTTTGATATTACTAATATATATATACTATGGTAAAGTGTTTTGATGAGGAACTACATGTAGCTTTCCCTATATGATACATAATGGGATATTTTTATTTCATTCAAAATTTCTTGTAGATCTTGTTAACAGGGCAATATTTCATAAATATTCTGAATTCAGATAATTCCAGGAAACAGAATGTAGAAAAATGCAAGAACAAATGATTTTTTAAAAACATTACTTTGTTAACCATGTACATGTGTAAAGGTGGAATTCAGACCATATCATGCATCAGAAGAAAAAAAAGTAGAAAAAATTTAACAGTGTTTTCTAGGAATGATATTTACTCAATTTTGTTTACCTTTAGGTTGCATGACCTATGTACTGAATGATAAGTCGCGTGCCTTCACTGGAGATGCTCTGCTTATCCGTGGCTGTGGAAGGACAGACTTTCAGCAAGGTTCCCACTGGGTCACTCCAGTCCACTTCTTATAGCAGTTTAACTCAAGTTGAAATTTTGGACATTTGATTATCATTTTCTTTGGCAAAAGAATTTTTGAGAAATTCATATGTTTTTTTACCTCAGGCATTTTTTCCTCATGCTAAAACATAACTTTCATATAAAATTTGTACAGTTTTCTAATGTTAAATATTAGAATAATGAAAACAGTGATAAAAACATTGAAATGTTAAATGTCAAAAAATGAGGGTGTCATTTACACCCTGTATTTTTATGCATTTCAAGAAAATACAAAATCTTATAGCAGATTTTTTTTCCAGTACATTAAAAAATGCATGCATTTACAGGATGATGGCAATTTTACACACACACTCACACACACACACACACACACATTATGTCTTCTATATCTGTATGTTGTAGGTAGCCCTCTGACCTTGTATGAATCTGTACACACACAGATCTTGTCATTGCCCCAGGACTGTCTGCTGTACCCTGCACATGACTACAAAGGTAAACTTCGAAATGTCACCAACAGGTTGTAAATTATAGTGACATAGCATTGAATACTGTGTGTGTGCATATGTGTGTATGAATGTTTAAAAGAACATAGTTTTTGATGTTTTGACAAAATCTTTAGAGTGCTCTTTATAGAGCTAAGCCTTGCTATAATTAAGTGGATAAATGAAATGGACATAGCTTTGTTGCATTGTATAGATGAAGTAATAATTTTGTTTACACATATTTGCATATGTATATATGAAAATACATTAAAGAGTAAGCTCTTACTTTTTTTCATATATTCATTCAACAGTTTAGTGCAAGTAATCAAAATGTTCATGTCTTCAGTATAATTTGAAACGATAGGCTTTCTATGTAAATTGTTTATGACAGCATTTCATTTGAAAATAATATACCATTAAGAGACTATCACACTGCATTATGAGATTTTATTCAAATGTTTAACTCTCTCTCTCCCCACCAGGCCGGACTGTCACATCTGTTGGAGAAGAACTGAAGTTCAATCCCAGGCTGACCAAGTCCAAGGAAGAGTTTGCTAACATTATGAACAACCTGAACCTTAACTATCCGAAGCAGATAGGTAAGCTATAAGAATTCTTTCTTTTGGTGTAAAGTTCATGGATGTGACCCTCAGAATATCTGCAATCCTGAATAGCATGTTAAATGTGCACATGTATTTTGAGAACATGTTTATAAATTTCAAATCTATCATAAATTGATATTTGTATTTATAAATTTCAAATTGTATCATTATTGATATTTCTGTTAATTTTTCAAATGTTATCATTTTTGATATTTGTCTTAAAAATTTTCATATCTTATCATTATTGATATTTATGTTTATAAATTTCAAATCTTATTCTTATTGATATTTGTGTTTATAAATTTCAAATCTTATTCTTATTGATGTTTGGATCATTTGCTTTGGTGTGTTTTCAGACCGTGCTGTACCAGCCAACATGAACTGTGGAGTGTTTGAGACGCCATCCGTGTCCCAGTAGACTGCTGTAAAGTAGTCATTTACACAGCTGAAACTAACTTTCACCACTATATACTCTCTCTATATATATAAAGCTGTGATCATACTCAAAGACTACTAATTTTGTAACCACCGATTAAAACTGTGACTGTTAGATATCATTGTGCAGTTTGTTTCCACATATTAGGCACCATGAGCATGTGATATGTACATGATTGCAGAAATAGCACATATATTTTCACCACATATTTTGTACATAAACAAATGAACAACCATCAACAGCTGCTGTAACTCCTTTGCTAGAGAACATACAGTGTGTTAATGTCTAAGTGTGCTTGAGATTTATTTGATCAAAGTTGTGTGTGCACAATGAATTGGCCAAAAAGAATGAGGATGAGAATACTGTAACTTACCACTTTCAGTGTTGGTCATTTTGTAGTCCTTGTGGAGGACTTTAGTGAACATACTTTGACTGAAGCAGCCGGATTAGGTTTAAATGGCTAGTGGCAGGCTTACAGCATGTGACCCATATGGCAGAAATGTAGCGTACCAGTTTTGTTTAGCAATAAAAATTGACGACTTGCATACGCTGCATTCACACACTCACACATGTGCACACCACTTTTGTCCACATTCTTCAGTCCATGACACATCTTATGCAAGTTTAAGGTTATAGTATTTTTATAAATCAAAAATCAAAAGGACAAACTTATTTACCTGTTGAATTACAGTCAGCAGGTTCAGGTTTTGTTTGAATGTACATAACATGGTCATGGTGAGATCTTTTGCACTTATTCCATTAAAACCATCCATTTTGACTCATATCAATTTTATTCATATGTTGTATTCAGTATAGCAGTTTAAAACAATTTTATTTTTTACTATCACCATATGTTGAATGTTACCAATCATTTACTAAGCTATTGTTACTTTCTACTTTTCTACCCGTGTTAGTGCTCAAAGGCCTTCTGTGATTACCACTACATTTTGATTGCATAATGTTCCCAGATGTATTTTATACTCTTTTGTATTCAGTCTTCAGTTGATTAGCTTGTTGTTTAATGTGTCAACAGAACAGACTGTAAATCAACAGTTTCAATGTAACACTTGTTATACATGACAGATGTGATGATTTGGAAGGCATTTATTATTTAAATACTTTTCTGTTTCAAGATTCATTGTTAAATATTTTGATTAATATTTTCATTTTAACTACTAGTATTTTGCTGTATGAAATAATTATTCTGAAAAATAAAGGTTTATAAGTGTTTTCTATCATTTGGTCATTTATTATTGACAAAAACTTGCATGTACGCAGTACATAATGCAGAAATATTTTTGTCGGATGGCGGTAGCAGGCTTAACCAGACGACAAAATAACGTTACGTGTGAAAAGAGGGCGTGAACACAAAAGATCTTTATATAAATAAAAGCATATCACCCGTTTTAGCAAATTTACGAGTGTCCCTTGTATGATCATCAAACGGGAAAAGAATGAAAGGGACCAATAGACTTGTGAAGATTCTTTTCTCTATAGCTACTTATATTTGTCTGGTCTTACCAGCCTATATTTCATCTGCTTGCAGTCAGACTTCATCAGGGAATGAGGTTGTGACAGGTGTGACAACCTATCACCCCCTCTGGTGTGCTATTTGGTCGGATCCCCCCCCCCCTTGTCTGCCCCTCCCTTAGGAATGGTAGGTAGAGATTGGGTAGCTCAGTCCCATCATTCCGGTTCAGCTTGGCCACATGTAAGCGGATGTTAATCGCTTCAAGAACTTTCCGGTGTAGGTTCCGTGGCTCTCTTTCCAAGATTTCTATGTCTTCTAGAGTTGTTTATGCTATACAATGCCCTGTCTGTCCCTGGTGTTGTCACACCTATCACAGCCTCATTCCCTGATGAAGTCTGACTGCACGCAGATGAAATATTGGCTGGTAAGACCAGACAAATATAAGTAGCTGTAGACAAAAAGAATCTTCACAAGTCTATTACAATAACATAAATAATAAAACTTTTCTACACGAAAGGGACCAAGCATTTAAGTACCATGGACTTGCTTGTTTTTTCCAGCATCATACTACATGAAATTTCTTCTTTTCTAAAAATTTGATATATTTCCTAACACCAAACGTGAGCAGACGACAGTACTCCTTCCTCATGATAAACCCGCTGCTCCATTTTGACGGCGGCATTTCCAACGTTTCTCCAAAGGTTGCGTTTCCTTGACAAAATTCCGTCACCTTTCTATTCACTGCCTTAAAATTACGGACTTCATTGAAGAAATCAGTATTTTGGTTTTCGAGCACTTTTTCAATTCTGAACTTAAAGTAGTCGTAGAGAATATAGTCGGCATAGCTCAGCTCTCTGTATCTTTTAACTACCGTTGGATCATCGACTTCTTTAACAGCCGAGTTATAATCCTCTGAAAAAGAAGAGCCAGTTTTTTGCTGAGTGTAGAAAAATTCATGTGTCCCCCAGCACAGCATTCTCTTCAGCAGTATCAGGCATTCCTCAAAATATTCCAAAACTATTACAAAATCAAATTCTCGGTCAATGTGGTATACATATTGCCTGGCATCCTCTACTGCGTGGGCAGTGCTTTGGGTGGTGTTGGCCGGTACCTTAAACCCAAGGTAACGTATCATTCGGTTCCAAAATCTGGCTGCCTCAGGGGATGTATATAATGATGAGTTAGAAAAAAACATTTCCAGCTGATTTTTCCCTTCGAGTCCAAAGTATGCTCCCTTATGACGATAATTAAAAAAAGATTTAAAGGCACTCAATGGTTCTCTAATAATTGTCACATAAAAGGCATCATTTGGTACGAGGTGCTCATGATCTTTGACAACCTTATATCTTACGTGGCTTGCGAATATGTCATGCTTATCACGTTGATGATCGCTGTCGTTCAGACTTCTCAGCAAGGAAACCAGGTTAAACTTACTGCCAAGAGGGAGCGCCGTTTTTAAGCTGTGCCGGAATCCATATCTTAGAATAATACTGGAAAGGGTAGAACTACCGCACTTGGGAACTTTGATGAACAGGACGTGTTCCTTTGGGGTACATGGCATGGACCTGACGGAGGCGTTCCAGACGTCCAGGAGACTTCGTGCCCGGTATCTTGGGTTAGCAGCATGTTGTCTTTTATGCGAGGCTGCTCTATCGTCGTCTTTTTGGATCCTGCAATTTTTTAATCAAATTTAGATCACACATCATTTTTATATCGACACTTCATCTGGTCAGTATTATAACTATAAACAGGTGATCTAACGCTTTAGTGCTCTCCACCGATGTGTTTAGAGAAAGGGGGTCCACGTTTCGTTTCCCGGCCTAAGAGCGCCTGCTGTCTCTACGCTAGGCTCACAATACCCTCTACCACTTGTACCAGGCCGACAGATTGATTTTCCACAGATATTCACAGATAGGGGAGACCGGGGCGAACCCCGGGGTAAGTTGCCCCCCCCCTCCCCCGTCAATTTATGAAAAAGTAACTACGAGGTAAAAAAAATTGGCCACATACTCTCGTGAAGTGACCGTAGCCTATAATGCTAAAAAGTTAAAAAGTTTTAATTGAGCGGTGAGTCCAAATAAACGATTTTTGCACCTAAAAGCAAGGAGTTATAACAGTCTGTTATAACTCCTTGCTAAAAGTAATCTTGATTAAGGGCGCATTCCCATAGATTTTAGATCGATCTATCCCCGTGGGGAGTCTTACTAGATTACTGTCGATCAGATAATCCAGCTTAAATGTCCGTCCCGTCAAGAAGTTATAAAGAGAAGGCCTTCTCTTTATAACTTCTTGGTCCCGCCTACTACAAGCTGTAAGGGGGTAATTAGCTTTCGTGCCCTCTCGGCTGACAGCTATTTAGCGTGAACCCCCAGGGAGTTAGGTCGATCTAGTTGGATCGACCTAATCTCTGGGAATGGGGTCTAAGAGATTTAAAAATCTATTTTCATAGGCTTTTGATAGAATATAATATATATGTATAGGGCATCAAACAGAAGCTCTTTGTTACAGGTTTCACTGAGATGTATCGTCGTTGCTCATTCTAGCACCATAAATGGCTGCCAGCCTTTAAAATAAATAATGTGCACCCGGGGCTAGTTGGCCCCATTGACTCGGGGCAAGTTGGACCCTCATATTACCCACAATCCTTTGCGCGCAACAGAGCTAGAGACCATTGTTTAAACAAACTCAATGGTTTGTTAAATAATTACCAGTTTAAAACTGAATTTGTTAGTTTCTTTTAAAACGAAAATTTATTATTCGTTTTCATTCATTAAAAACTTGCTTTATACCATTATTAACTTATTCTTAATTAAAAGAAAAAAAGTTTTATTAATAGATACATGTATGTTGGTTCTTGCAACACATACAGCGTGACTTACGGAAACCTTAATAAATCTGCCTCATTTGAACTATATGTTCATCAAAGACTCTCAAAAATCAATTTAATAAATTATAAATGTGTTAAAATGTATTTCAAGGCGTTTACATGAGATACTTACTTTATTTGCCTGACGTCAATTGCGTTTTTTTTTTTTTTTTTTTTTTTTTTTTTTTTTTTTGTCAAATTGTGACCCATCTGGCATTATATTAAAAAAATAATGACGAACGTTGCATACGTAGCTTAGTTCATGGGGCTGGCTTTGAAACCGGTTTTGTTACTCTAACTCATTCCAAAAGTGTCTGACTGGGCCAACTAGCCCCGGTCTCCCCTATGTCTCTAGATAAATAGACAGTCATTTTGGTCTTATGTCAGCTTCACTTCGCTTCAGCCAAAAATGTCCACAATAATAACTGCGGTCCTGGTAGAGGGTAGGCTCACAGCATATAGTATGGAAGGTGAAGAAAGGTCTAGTTGTGGCTGCATTGTCAATTCTGAATGATAATTCGGAGAGATCCACATAAAACAATTTTAATGTATGCTCCCAATGACATTTTTACCGGAAGAACTGTAAGCATTGGTTCACAAATAAAAACAAAGGCTATTTATTTTGTGACCCTCTAGCAGTTTGCTCTCAACCAGATATCCTTACGGTTACAAAACTGATTGAAGGACTTCCCGGTTTCTGTAACAGCTAGAAGGGCCTCCGTAGGAATCTAGAGAACAGGCGAATTGTTGGGTTACGTCCCCCTCTCCCCATACTGCCCCGCACCGACACGTCCCTGCACCGACACTCCACCACACCAATATTCCCCGGTACCGGTACAACCCCCCCCCCCCCCCTCCCCGACAGTACACAAAATTTTATCCAATTGAAAAAATAGATTTTTCGTTAAACAAACATCAGAGAGGAATAAATAGATTCAAGATCAAACAGATTCATAGAAACCCGACCAGCAGTACATTTTAAAAGGCATGATCTTTTATATTTGGAGAATATTAAGAAAATGAGGCATTAAACTCAGTTTTTACCTACATGTGTAACATTAAGGTTAAATGAACCAAGCTAGGATCCAATATTTTGGACTTAAGAACCAAGGAGTTGTACCCCATTCAAGCTGGAAATTTCTTACTGTGTTAGCTTATGGTCAACCTGGTCGGAGGCCTTTATCAGACTGATGTCAGTAGAAAGCGTCACTCACTAACCACTAGGTGATATAGCGGCTAGATCCCTTTTATAAATGTCAGGTAGTTCGACCATGCCCCCTCCCCGCCACCCCAATTCCTGGGTGCTTTTTGCCGGCTGACGTTGATTACTCGTATCTTCGGTGGGATGCCGGATGACTCGGATTCAAGAATTTTAGTTTAATTCCAGTCAATACTGTGATCAATGTGAATAACATGCTCAGATGACATAGCTGCTTTTGCCTACTACTACTACAGTCACAGATTGCTTGTGTTCATTTCATCTATTATAGATTGTGTACAATAACCGTATTATTATATAATCAAATGACCACGCTATGAAAATTTTGCCCAGTCTTTACCTGTTTACAAAAATCATGATATGTTACTCACCCTTCATTGTCTGGCAGGATCAGCCATACGAGGATGTTCCATACAATAACAGTGTACAGAAGTAACAGAGAGAACGCGGTCCAAAATGTTACTCTTTTATAACGCTCGGTCAAGACGGTCTTCAGTTGCATTTTGCCGTGTGTTGTTGTCCCATCTAAACGTAATGACAGTGAGCTGATGGTTTGCCTCTTAGGTGAAATAGACTCTAACATATTGCAGGTTTTATTAATTTTTGATAGTACTATCAGTTTGTGACAATTCATCTCCGCGTGTTCTGTTTACTAAATGAATTGTATAACTTTAACAAATATGCATTCGCCAATGACAAAATAAATATTAAGATAGCAAACAGTTTCCAGCTGGAATTATAACAAGTCGTGATTGTCTCTCACATACTGGTACATTACGTGTCACACACGAAGCAGGTCATATAAGGTCCCCTACTTTGTTCTTAAATGGCTTATAAGCTCTCCAACCCTTTATTAAAATAATCTCTCTCTCCCTCTCTCTTTCTCTCTCTCTCTCTCTCAGTTGTGTGGAAAAATGGAGGCGGTGCGAGAATACTCAGCACAACAAGCTTTTCCATTACTTTCAATTGTATGCCAGTGCCTGCGTCTAGGAAAAGATCATGTTTGCCCTCTGTTTTACTAATACATTTTGCCAAAAAAATTCTTTTGACTTGATGATCCAATATAATACTTAGTATGTGCCACAGAAATTTA